TTTTTTTTTTTTTTTTTTTTTTTTTTGCCATACAATGAGTCCAATTGCGAGACAGAGACAGAGAGAGAAAGAGCTATGGAAAGTAATAAAACATGCCCAGGGGAGAATGCCACCTCATAATCCCTCCTCCTCCATTTTCTTCATGAAGTTACGAGCATGCACACACATGCACACACACACACACACACACACACACACATACACACTTAATGTGTCTTTGAAACTGCACGTTCCAGGACTTGACCCAGCCGGTTGGCTGTATGATACTCAGCTGTCTTAACCAACATAACATCAGCAGGCCCAAGGACAACAACTAACCTGCTCGTGATAGACGCACAACTGAGTAAGACAGCATCTCTTCAGGAGAACTGAATCCAGGGAGGGCAGCATGACTGTGACAGGCAAGGACATTTACAGAGAGGATTTCTCTGAGAATGGAGAAATTATACCCACAGGGGTCTCCTGGATGGTCTGCTCCTGCCATCCAACAGCTGCACAGAGCTGTACTCTTGGAACCACGTTCCAGGCGGGGAGTAAGATGTCACGATGTCCAGGCATAACCAGAGAGCACGTTTCCTTTTGCACTTCACTGGTGAAAGGGAGCACACTGGGCTCTCCAGCCCAGGTGGCCTGAGTCCCTCTGCACAGGGCTGAGGAGGCATCAGCAGAGCTGGAGGGGGAGCCTGTGAGCTCAGGGCAGGTTTTGGTCTCGCTTCCCCATAGGCTTGAATCACTGTGCAAATGCCACTGGCCGCGTAGGAGCTGCAGTGATACTCAGCCTCATCCTCAGCCTGGAGCCCAGAGATGGTCAGGGAGGCCGTGTCGCCAGACTTGGAGCCAGAGAAACGATCTGGGATCCCTGAGGGCCTGTGGTTGACATCATAAATCAGAGCTTTGTGGGTTCTGCCCGGATGCAGTTGGTACCAGGAGACACGATTATATCCCCCAATGTCATTGCTGCTTCCAGCACAGGAGATGGTGACCGTCTGTCCCAGAGACCCCGACACTGAGGAAGGCTGAGTCAGGACAGACTGCGCCCAGGACCCTGAAACGAGGAAAACACACTCTGGTGAGTCAGTGCTGGGCCCAAGGGAGCCTGAGAAGGAGAAGACAAAGCATCACCCAGATGTCCCTGGTCCCCTCCCTAGAGGTGTCACCTGTGCCCTGAGAGAGGAGGGTGAGGAGGAGCAGAGCCCAGGCCATGGTGGAGACGCCCCTGAGCACGGCCTACTGAGACCCCAGCACTGGGCCTGGCTCCCCTAGATTCTCTTATCCTCTCCCCTGCCTCAGAAGACACAGAGGCCTTCATGCAAATCTGCTTCCTGCACCTCCCCTTCCTCCCCCAACCTGACCTGACCTTTTCCACACACGCCTCTGTCCCTGGACACCAGGGTCAGCTGAGGGGTGAGAACTCTCTGAACTGGGTATTTTAGCATGGAGTCCTTAAGAAGATCAGGAAACAGTGCTGCCTTGGCAGTCTGTATTCTTCTTGTCCTGCACCATGGCTACTCCTAGCTTCAGAATTTCCAGACGTCCTTTCTGCGCTGGGCATTATGGGCTGGTTGGGATCCCACCTCCTCAATCCAGAGCACCATAGGCAGCTGGAGGGGAAGGGGGGGATGTTGCTCCCAGCTTTTGTTTATAGTTTCAGCCCCCTCAGTTGGGATAGGTCCTCCATTGCTCCATCCCCTGACTCCACAGTGCCAGAGACATATCTGAGACAAAAGCATTGAATAGTTATGGGATCATATGGACAAGATTTATTGGGGCTCGAAATAGTTGGATCTCTTCTTCTGAGGCCTTGCAGAGGTTTTCAGGTGAAAGTTGGCTAGATCCCAAGCATCACCTTCCCAGCATCTTAGACCTCTGCTGCCCCCTAGTGGCCATAGAGGGAGCGCTAGCTCCAGGGAACATAGCTGAGTGGGAGCAGAAGTCCCTGTTCTCCACTCCCCTCCTCTCTCCTGCCCCTCCCAGCTCAGGACCAGGCCTTCTAGTTCCTTATAGTCCCCTTATAGTCCCCTCCAAGTTCCTGTCTTTCTTTTTTTGCATTTATTTATTTTTTTGGAGAGGTTTTCACTATAGGGCGCGTGCGCTCGCCAGACAGACAGAGAGAGACATAGAGACAGAAAGCGAGAAATCACCCCCCAGGGGGGATGGCCACGCTGCAACCCCTTCTCCTCCATTCTCCTCTCGGGGTCTTGGGCACACACACACGCGCCTGGCATGAGTTTTAAGCCACCTGGTCCAGGACGCGAACCGCAGTCGACTACGTGGGAGTCCAGCAATAAAGCCATTACGCTAACTTCTGGTTCCCTATTTATTTATTTATTTTTAATTCACCAGAGGGGGGGGGGCGGAGAGAGAGAGGGAAAGTAAAAAAGCAAGCTACCAGCTCCAGGACTCGAACAATAGTCAGCCATGTGGGAGTCCAGTGCCTTAACCGCCTGCTGGCCCCTAAATATTCTTTAAAGAGAGAGGAGAGAAAGAACTATTGTGCCAGGGTAAGTGAAGCAGAGCTGACCTCTTTTGTCCTCCACTCCCTTGCTGTCTCCTGGTGGCCTAATCATTAGGATGCAGCCGGAAATGACTGAACACACTCTCAACGCCCCCTTCACCTTCCCAGCTCAGCACCAGGCCCCATCGCTCTAACGCATTCCCTATTTCTGTCACTTCTCCTCTCCTTTCCTCCTTAACGGAATGTGTCTCCTATCTCACCAGGGGTATCTGACCCTCAGACTCAGGACCTCCTTGGTTGACCCAGAGGTGCCTGGACACAGGATTAGGGACATGACACAGCCCTTGCTCCAGACCAAGGAAACAACAGATGCAAAATGAAAATATCCCCTGTAGGAAATAGGTGAGGAAAATGCTATAAAGAGGAGACCATCTGGCTTCTCAAAATGTCTTCTCATGCGTGCACGGAATATTCTCCAGGGCAGATCACATGGTGGGGCACAAAGGAGTCTTTACAAGGTTCAAAAAATTAAAATCATTACAAATACCTTTCTTAGGCCACAATAGAAAATAACTAAAAATAAATAACAGGTTTTTAAAAAAGGGAAAATTTCAGGTCGAAAAAAGTGACATGGTGTTTTGAGACGGAATCCAACATGGACAACCACAGTTGAGTCTCAGATCTGTCGTTTAATAATAATAATAATAGTAGTAATAAACCAACCGCAGGGGCCAGCAGGTGGTATAGTGGTTAAGGTTCTGGCTGGACTCCCACGTGGCCAGCCATGGCTCAAGTCCCGGACCTGGTGGCTTGCTTTCTCACTTTCTCTCTCTCTGTCTCTCTCTGGTGAACACACGAGTCCTATAGCAAATTAAATAAAAAGAGAAATGAAATTAAATAAATAATTATGTTTAAGAAGTCTATACATATTTATATGTATTGAAAAAAAATAATAAACCAACTGCAGAAGGCCTAATAGAAGATGAGAAGATGACCACTGCTTTACCCTTCCTTATGGAAGAGTGGAGTCCTGCCTGCTTGTACAGACTGTGCCTCCCCCAGGGACACATCCCAGGGTGGGTGTCCCCTGTAACTTCCTCAGTCAAGGGACCAAAACTCAGAATCATCATCTCTGTCTCCAAGAGCAAAACCCCCTATGTGCATGAGGGTCTCTTAAAGGGCCAGTGGAAGCCAGTGCTCCAACCTAGATGACTAAGGCTGAAAGTACCGACATACCTCAGAAGGAAGAAGGTGACTGGAAAACATACTTCAGACCCAGTAAAGAGGATGAGCCTTATGGAGTAGCCTTTCTTTTTTAACATTTATTTATTTATGCATTGATTTGTTGTGATTTTCATTTTTGTTTGTTTTGCCACAGGATGTGTGTGCTTCCCGGAGAGGAGAGACAGAGAGACAATGAGAGAGAACGTGAGAAATCATCCCCCACGGGGGATGACCATGCTATGATCCCTTCCCCTCGTTTCCTGGAATCCTGGACCCGTGTAACACATGCCTAGGGCGAGTTTCAAGCCACCAGGTGTAGGACTCAAACCATGGTCAGCCATGTGGGTGTCCAACATCATAACCACTATGCCACCTGCTGGCCCCTATTTTTGTCATTTTGAAGCCACCGGGTCTGGGATTTGAACACCAGTCAGCCATGTGGGAATCCAGCAACTTAACCACCACATCTCCTGCTGCCCCCTGAGAGTGAGTCATACGAGAAAAGCTCAGCTCTCAGGTAGTGTGATCATTATTCTGGTTTCTCCAAATTGATGGTATAACCATGGTCCAGGCCTTTCATATATATATATACATATATATATATGTATATATGTATATATATATATATATTTTAGAGAGAGTTTTGCACTAGGGTGTATGTGCCCACTGGAGAGACAGAAAATTAAAAATCACCCCACAGGAGGGATGGCCATGCCACAATCCCTTCTCGGAATTTTGGACACACACACACACGTCTGGTTTGAGTTTTAAGACCTTAAGCCTGAAATGCAAACCACAGTCATCCATGTGGGAGTTCAACACCTTAACCATCACACCACCTGCAGCCGCATGGTCCAGGAATTGCAAGTACGCGAACCGGGCAAGTGGAGGCCTGGTCACTCCATCAGTTGTCTCTCGAACAGGAACTCAGGTTCTCACAGGAGTTCGGTGAATTCCGTTGTGGACATTTAGTGTCAGAGTACACAGGAACCCGAGACTCCACCTAGTGATGGGGTTGTCTCTTCATGCAAATCAGTTCCTTCGGGAGTGTCTGAAGAACAAGGGAAGGATCTAGCATGTGGTTCTTCCTGGTGGAACAAAGGGGTTACTTTAGAGAAGCCACGTGTGTCCTGCACGTGGAAATCAGAGAAGTTAGGGCTCCTGCAGACTCATCACTCTTGTTTTGATAAAGGCATCTGAGAGTCCTGTCATGCTTCGGTGACTGTTCAACGGTTAGTAAAATGTGACACAAATGTGCCCCCTGAAGGTCCCACCAGAAAGTTTATACCTGTCTTTCATTTGCCCTACAGTTCCTCTGACAGTCTCTGGTCAAGGAATCAGTCTCTGTGATTTCGGCAGGGGAGGTCTCTCCCTTCCCACAGGGGCTGACCCCAGCTGCTCCGTCCAGGTCAGAGGGTGTCATTGTCCAGCCCCGATGATGAAAGCGAGAAGGTACTGATTGTTACGGGAAGAATAAAGGTGTCTAGAATAAGACTGGGAGCGAGGAACTGAGGGGATCCAGAGAACGAATGAGCTCTCAGGTAAGCCGGGCGTCCACCCTGCTGGGCCAGCAGAGCCTGTTGTCAGGGCGAGGCAGTGTCACTGCTGAAGCTCTGGCAGACTGGCAAGGATGGGTCACCATCCCAAGTGTGCAGAGACTGAAACCCAGCTGAAGCCAGATGTTCGAAAAAATCACGTCTAGCTTGTGAGTGTATATATATATATGTGTGTGTGTGTGTGTGTGTGTATATATATACACA